GTAGAGTATAGTTTAATAGACATTAAATTAAAAAATCTTTGTGAGACGTAAAGATGGGGAGCTTCTCGGCTTAATCGCAAAAAAATACCGTTAAAAAATGAATCTTGAATGTCCAGCGTAGGCTCAGTCTCCAGCCGTCGGGATTTCGTGCGCCCGCGATACTCTCTGCCCTGACGTCTGGGCGCATGGGGTTCGCTATTGTCAGTCTTGACCAATCAGCGAGTGGCCCCCGATATTTTCAGGGGCATATCTATGGTGGCCCATTAACGCCATAGTGATTTTGAACATTTCACCAGTATTTTTTTCTATTTTGTATGGATTTGTATCATTACTTTTTATTTTTTTTATTTTTCTTTCTCCCTCACTTTTTTTTTCTTTTCTCTTTTTTTTTTCTTTTTTTGTTTATTTTTTCTTTTTTTTCTACTTTTTTTTACTTAGCTTATTATGAAAAAAAAAAGAAAAAAAACCCGCCCCGTCCCAGCGACACCATAGACCACAATGCTTTTCGGGTCGGATACAGGACGGATTGCCTGTGTTACGCGTGTTCACAAGTTGTTGAAGCACTTGCAAGTACTGCACGTCTATAGTGTTCTTTTATCTTGATCAACAATGTCTGTAAAGCGCAGAGCTTGGCAGGATTACGTACAAGGAAAAAATGTCAGACAAGAGAGGTGGTAAGAAGGTCGAGAAAAAAGCTGACACGTCAGTCATTTTGAATGGCGCTTTAACAGTACAGCGACTTTCGTCGGAAGCACAAGGCAAAATCCAGAAGTATGCCAGAATTGGACCTTTGACACTGGTCCCCTTTGATAAAGACCTGGACCTATCATTGAAAAACATCAAAGATGCCTGTAAAGCACATTTTTCCTCGAGTTTAGACTGCGATGTGCTCGCAGGGGAGAGGGGGCCGTCATATACAGATGTGAGTCAAATCAAAAATTGGAAGGTCATCCACGTACGCTTCATCGAAAACTCTGAGTCAAAACCAACAATAGATCCCTCCCGAAATCATAAAAGCGACCCGTACAGAGACAGCCCAACGAAGAGTACCCATTCAAGTCCAGCAAAATATACTTCTGCCGCTAGCTCACATGCTGTCCCTAGATCTGTGTCCATAAGCCAAGTTGTAGGTCGGAAAACTCATCGTTCCAGATACGGACATTGTAAATTTAAAGTTGGAAGAGTTTTCTATCGATGATATGAACTGGGGGAAACCCATAGAAGTTGCTATGTCGGTTTCGAAAGAACCGGAGGGAGCTTTCAGGCTAGCATATAAAGCAAAGGCACTTTCGGGACTTCCAAATGGGGAATATGTATTGAAAAATACAAGCAGCAAGAAAAACAGGGAATCTCGGTTTTATTTGAATCAATCGAGTTTCACACAGGGAAGTCAGTGCAGCTCAATGCACTTGCGAAAAACTTGGCAGAAAATATGGCATGCGAGGCACCATCTACATCTACATCTACGTTTATTAATCGACAACGCTTTCGCATCAAGCCGATATATACATGTATTTACAAACAATATATATATTAAAAAAATAATTATAATCTAAAATATAGATTTACAAATATAAATATCCTAATTATATAAAAATTAATCTTAAATATCAATTTACAAATATAAATATTCTAATTATAAATAATGAATATATAAATAAATAATGATGATGAATTAATCATTCCTAATAAAAGAGACACAAAGGTCCTGAAAAGATAAAAACTTAGCACTCGTAATTTTGTTTGGAAGAGAGTTCCAGTCCCTTATTGTTCTAGGAAAAAAGCTAAAAAGATAGTAATCGTTCTTGCAACCTGGTTGGATGAATGAA